TCTCCTTCCCTCTCCCTCTCTCTCCCTCCCCTCTCTCCTCCTCTCCTCTCTTCTCCCTCCCTCTCCTCCCTCCCTCTCCTCTCTTCTCCCTCCCTCTCCTCTCTTCTCCCTCCCTCTTCTCTCTTCTCCTTCCCTCTCCTCTCTTCTCCCTCCCTCTCCTCTCTTCTCCCTCCCTCTCCTCTCTTCTCCCTCCCCTCTCCTCTCCTCTCCTCTCCCTCCCTCCTCCCTCTCCCTCTCCTCTCCTCCCCTCCCTCCCTCTCCTCCTCTCCTCCCTCCTCTCCTCCCTCCTCTCCCCTCCCCTCCCTCCCTCTCCTCTCTACTCCTCCCTCCCTCCCTCTCCTCTCTTCTCCCTCCCTCTCCTCTCTTCTCCCTCCCTCTCCTCTCTTCTCCTTCTCTCCTCTCTTCCCTCCCTCTTCTCCCTCTCCTCTCCCTCCCTCCCTCTCCTCTCTCCTCCCTCTCTCTCTCTCCTCTCTCCACTGCGTCGCTCCCCTCCCCCCCTCTCTCTCTCCCCTCTCTCCTCTCTGTTGCTCCCCTCCCTCTCTCTCTCCCCTCTCTTCTCTCTCTCTTTCTCCCCTCTCCCCTCTGATATGTATGTGAAGAAATTAGAAAAATGAAAAAAAAATGCACTTTTCATGTAAATGACCATAGCAGGGACTGTAGGTTAATATCTAGTACATTATGTTTCTCTATGCTTTGTCAGGGAACTACCTAGGTAACTCCTCGTCTTTGTCTTCAACCATTTCTCAGGTATTTTGTACCTTCAGAGCCCAGATATCACAACTTGGATTCCACCTTTGTCCTTTCCCCCACCAAAAGCAGCCTCGACTCCCATTTTGGTTAGGTTACGATTATACTCCTTGGGTTAGATGTATCTATGCTTGCTGTAATGTTTTATAACCATTTGGTAATATTTAAAAAATTATTAATATGATAAACTATAGAGCCTCACATCATCCAGGAAAATGTTTATATGATCTTGGCAAATTATAGTTTTTTATTATTCAAAATTTGTAGATTATAAAATAACTTTTAACTCACCATTGTCTTACATGTAAGCTCTCATTAATGTTGTAGGTATTTTTTTCAGATTTTCATTCCTTTTCATTTCAGCAAGAAAAATACTTTTATGAAATCTCAGCTGGGAGAACACATCATACATACAAAAATTAAATAAAAAAAAGTTTGAGGTTTAAATGTATTTATACTCTGGCACTATTGTTCATATTTATTTTGTGACTATTTTTCATAGTACAGTAGATTCAGTACTGGGTTATGATATGATAATAAATATATGGTATACTCCATAAATGGACCATGGGAAGCTGTGTTTCTTATATTCTGGTTTCTATAATAGAAGCAAAAAATGTTCTTATACAATGGTACAAAAATACATTTATATACATGACTTGAGTTCACTTACTAGATACACCTATAACAAACTACATGGTTTCTAATTAATTTTAATATAATCCAAGAATTTTTTTAAGTATATAAAAAAGAAAATAGGTGACAAAAATAAACAATTGTAAAAAATATGTAAATCCATATATACACACATACATACATATTTACAATTTGATTTTCTGTGTGTGTGTGTGTGTGTTTTTCTGTTTTTTACTGTGTGTATGTTTTTCTGTTTGAGTGTGCTTTTCTGTGTGAGTGTTTTTGTGTGTGTGTTTTTTTTTTGTTGTGTGTGTTTTTGTGTGAGTGTTTGTGAGAGTGTGTTTTTCTGTGTGAGTGTTTTTTTTGTGTGTGTGTTTTTCTGTGTGAGTGTGTTTTTGTGTGTGCTTTTCTGTGTGGTGTTTTCTGTGTGGGTGCTTTTCTGTGTTTTTTTTTTGTGTGTGTGTGTGCATTTTGTTGTGTCTGTCTGCGTGTCTGTCTGTCTGTCTGTCTGTCTCTGTGTGCGGCTGGGTGGGTGGGTGTATGTCTGTGTCTGTGTCTGTCCTATCACAGATGAAGACAGTAATATGATTGAATTTTCAGCAAATTTTGCATGCATTACCTTTTTGGTTATTCCATTAGCCACAAAAGGCTACGTATATGCCTAAAAATGTATCACTAATTTTGTATATGCGTTTCGGCAAATACACTAGTCATTAGCTAAATGACATCATTCAAATATTCATTTATCCTTATCAACAATAAAATTAAAATGTTCCTGTAATGTCTTCAAAATTATCAAATACTGTTCATAAATAAACTGATATTGTGATATATCAGCACAAAACAGATGTTGGGGAAGACCAGCTGATTCTAAGGATGACAGCTGATCCACTCCAGGCTCAGGCCTCTGAATGAGACACAGCTGGAGGGCATTGCTGATCTGGCTCATGTGTTTGCATACCTGTAAGGTGAAATATAGAACTGAATTGTTTGTTAAATGTAATCCATTACTAAACAGTAAGTTAAATGTAATACATTAACAAATTGCATATAAGTGAAATACAATGTTAGGCAGGATGTCCTGTCCCAATCAGACAGTGTTGCAACATATACAGAGCAAGAAATATTAGTCAGAGATCATGAGGTTTAGTTATATCTTGGATCATGCAAGATAAAGATGTGATGCAAGATTTTCTGATCTATTTGCTACCCACTAAATCATACTAGAATTACCATGAATTAATGAATGTTAATTTGCAATTTGTGAATTAGACATATTTAATTCTATTTATATTTAGGAATTACTATAATTTTGCCATTAAAATCTCTATACCAAAGGACTCCATCAACATCACAAACTCTCTACTCTAATACAAGGATATAAATCATATTTATATACCTTAAAAATTGGACCTTGCATGACTCCTTCCCAACTTTTGCCCTCATGAAATAATGATGCAAAATCACATTGTTGCAAAATCACATTGTTTTATTTTTGATAAATAAACAAATAAAAATATATATTTATAATAACTCCCTACTCCAAACTCATACCAAAAAGTTTTATGGTTTTTACACCCAATAATGTACCACATTTTCAAAGAGAATCAAGATACAGTGATAATAACCAAAATAAATAAAAATAATACTAAAAAAAATAATAACATTAAAAACACAGAAACAACCGCAAAACCCGTCACAAATGTGTCACAAACCTCTAATTCATAGGGTGGTTCTAGTTGCTGGCAAAGAGACGTGAGCATTGCCAGCCAACACCGATAGTCCTCACAGCCAGGGTTGACTAGATTGTAATGCTTGGATAAACAGTGGCTGACTATACTTGCCGATGCGCTGAGGACACTCGATACTTCTACTGCTTCCTTGTTCATACTTTCCTCAATCCCATCTGAAATTTGCATTAAAGATTATAGCTATAAGGAATGAAGGTCAGAAAAAGAATTTCAGGAAATCATTAGTTTAAAGGTTTGTATTTCATGCATGTACAAGCTTATACCTACCTAAAAGGAAATTCTTGAAAATTTAACAGACGGCATTCTAAGATTTCATGGTACATACATGGATTCCACATAACTATAATCTATACAGAAATAAATGCAATAACCTGCTTCCTGGACAAATTATGATTATTGATAACAGTTTCTGAAGAATTCAAACCTAATGAAAAAACTCAGTGTATGAGAGGAAACACAACCCATTGAATACATAATTCTTTGGCCTTATAAATTGATCTTTTTCTCTAAGATGAAAGAAAAAAAAAGAATTACAACAATAGCATAATCTTGAATTCTGGGACAGAGATGATAGAAAACCTACAATATAAGATTTTCTGTGAGTAAAATTTGTAAATCAAAATAAGTAAAATCAAAAGAATCTTTTATTTATTATCAAAAAACTACTGTATACATGCCATTTCTCTATACAAACAAAAGCAGTCTTACATGAGAAACAGAAGTATATCTGCAGAGATGAAGAAACTAAGGAAGTATCTGCACTATTTCTTAAATCCTTAATTAACTACTGGAGTGGAAAGCAATCACGATCTAAAGAGAAGAATCTGTTTTCCTTTGTAAATATGCATTTCTATGTGTTACAGGCTGCAAATATGACATTTTATTAAATACAGAATTTATAGATGGCCTTATAACAATATAAAACAATATCATGATAACATATCTAATATCATAATATGATATACAGTAAAATAAGACTAATTTTTCTAGATTTCAAGAGATACATTTTCAGTAACATCTTATCAGAATGGTTCTTGAGGCTATCAAGTTTAATTACAGGTTCCTGCCTATCTTGAGGCTATCAAGTTTAATTACAGGTTCCTGCCTATCTTGAGGCTATCAAGTTTAATTACAGGTTCCTGCCTACCATAGACTTCAAAGAATTACATGTTGCAGAACTGTCCTTATTATTCTGCAGATATCTGACTGCCTTGAAGTTAAAGCTCAGTGTGATTTGGCCCAAAGCATAGCTGTTACATAAAGCAATAAACAGAGAAGCAAACTCTATTCATAAAACTGGACAATTCTTTTAAATAGTGTTCCAGGCCACTCTCACACAAGTTTAATACCTTGAATTATAATAGCCACTAACTTACAACTTTTCTTTTTTCTAACTCTGGGCAATTACCACCCATATATCCTATAGCAAAGATAATATTAGTAAAGAACAAAAGACACAGTAATAGCATGGTTCAACTAGCATTGTCTTTGTCAAGGACCCGACTCGTGTAAGAGTACCCAGTCAGGCATAGTGTTTCAACTGCAAAACGCATCGCACATAGTACTTCTCATTTGAGCAACATGGAGCACAAGGACTTATTCCCTGTATTTGCTGCAGTTTTGTGTTTCATGGTGTATAGTCCTTTGAAGAGAGAACAGAAACCGGTTTATTTATTTAAAATTAACATCAGTCTGACAGGCCACCAACAGGTGTAAATCCTCAGTTTCAAATTCAATCAATCAAATCAATCACATCCTGCGGCACCCAGGGGGATGCATAGGGTCTTAAGTTTCAAATTAGGTATTTTTTTATTTGTTTTTGGAAATAAGACACAAATTTTGTGATAACTAACTCTAAATGTTTAATATAAAATCTGTATTATAACTTTGTTGACTTTATAGATACTTTGAGATGTTGACAATTTCTTAAAGTAAATTACAGACAATAGTCTTTAATTGCGCCCAAGAGAAATCTGGGGTGCAATTAAAGCCTGGAGATATCTGAAGAAAAAGAAAGCTCTAGGTCTAATCATCGCTGGCTCCCTTCAGCCCCTAGATTTCACACCAAAATCGCATAATTCGGTCCAGATAGCCACTCACGCAGCAAGACCTACACATATACAAGGCCAGATGAACCACGCTGTTAGCGACTGAATAAAAGTGAACTAATGAATAATTCTATGGGAACACTGACAATAGGCATGAAACAATGGAAATTTAGAAGTTCAATTATAATCACTAAACAAAGGGCAATTAACCCCATTTTCAGTACTGCTTAATCAGTACTGGCTATTGTCATAAGGTAAAACTTGTTTTACCTTCTAAGCTATTCACAAGGGGTTATTCTGTGCTCTAATATATAAAATTGGTTAATATTTGATTTCTACTTTATCTTTTATATATGTAAAAGTGTTAACCATATACAATTACAATCCACTTCAATGCACTAATCTTCTACAACCCTTTAAGGCATATCTATTTCTAGAATAGTTCATTATCTATAGTAAACAATCAACAAAATAGTCTTAAAGAAATAATTCACATTAAACTAAAAATCAGGTAAAAATTACTACACCTGTAGTTTTTCCAGTTCAAAACTACATGTATAGTTAAGATGAAAAAAATCAAACAATTTACACTACCTTCCACTGTAGAATCTGCGGCCACGGGGACCTCATTTTCCTCTTCACTCTCCTTCTGCTCTGGCTCCTCTTCATCCATCAACTCTACAATGTTCTCATTTGTCAAATATGGAGCTGTCCTTGCTTGGGCAGGTTTATCAATGATTTTTATTTTAATGGCACTTCCTTTTCCCACACTCTTCAAGATGAATTCTAGAGGCAGAGTGGTATCATTTATTCTCAGAAGTTTCTTGCTAATTGCTTTCTCAGAATCGGCATCATCTGCATTGTTCTTAGGGAGGTGGAGGCTGTGCACTGTTGGGAGTTTCCTTCGGTCATCCACTTCAGCAGAAACAACCAGGGTGTTGTCGCTGGGTCTCATAACTTGCAGGTGCTGGACAGTCTCAAGGTGGGTCTTTCTATGGGCCTGAGGAAGGAGTCATTACTTTAGTCAGGAAGGAGTGACTTACCATGATTCATAAAAAAAATTATAAATCTTAAATTTGCATATATATTGAAGAACTAAATAAGAGTACAAATCTGTAAGAAAAAAACATAGAAGTAGACCACTAATATCCTGACACTGCTCTGAGCAGAATAATAACTACACATCCAAATTTCTCATAACCCCTAGATTATTTCACTAGGCAGCCACAGATGGTGTCATGCTGTGGTTGCTGCTCCATTAATTCTGAGTTGCAGGAGGTATATGCATATTTTGGGATATAATTGTGGCCTTCTGTTAGTCCAGAAGAATGGTCCCCCACAGACCCAGAATAAGAAAAATTGGAGATGTCTTGCATACTACAAATATTTAGATGTTGAATAATACTTTTCCTTCTAGTAGTAAAACCTAGTTTAACATTATCTTTTTAAGCATATGATATTCATAGTCATTAATGCTCAACTTAGGATACATTCAACAAGTGAAATTTGATCATTTGTTAATAAGGAATTTCTGCAACACATATTTTTACTAAACAATAATCTATGCCTTTATACAGAAAAACTGAACTTCTAGGACAGACTACAAAGTCATAGTAAAAATACCATACACGAAGTAAATAGTTTAAAAAGTCTTCAAATAATTTTATTTGACTCTTATATTTATGATAAACTGTTAGACACCCCATTTACACACAACCTCTAAAATTATGCTTAACAGCTTAACAGTAACTCCCATCAGGTGAAAATATCTCCCCCATTATTTTTCCAGTCATGTTAACAGTTTTTTTCCAATCTCTATTTACCTATTCATGTCAAAGGGTAGCTGTATATAAATGTATTTATCATTACAGTTATGAAACACCAATATATATTTAGTCAAGGAAGTCTTATTTAAGTTGCTGTTGTTGAGCAAAGCTCCAAAATGAATAGCCACCTTGGTAGGTACAATATAAACCATTCAAAACCATTATAATCAGTTTGAATTATGTTTGCTCTTCATTTTGGCAGAATTTCCATTGAACTTGGAATATCTACAGTCAGATTCAATACAGTTAATATCAACTTGTAATCTAAACAAAAGATAAAATTAATAATTTGTTATATCAGTTGCACTGCCTATATTCAAAAGGTTAATTCTCCCAATTCAGGTACACAATGCAAGGCTTGTGAAAAGGGATGTTCATGTATACATCTAATTATTTTTGAAAGACGGATTTTTTAGAAATACTAAAATTATGATATATGATATAAGATAATACTAATTATACTTCTAAAAAATCATGTATCTATAACCATCTACCCAAGAATAGATTCTAGTGGACTTGTCTGGCTGTTCAGAGTAGTTCTAATGGGAAGCCACACTATATTCAATTGTTCTGAATAAGGTGAAGATGCACTCAACAGGAAGGAGATAACTGTCTGAATGCAACATTTCTAAATAATGTCACTTTATTTCAATCAATCATTATCACTAATTTAACAATTATCAAATAATTATCATCACCAATTTGGTCACCCAGTCATCAATCATCACATTTTGTCAAGCAAATTTTCACCTTTAAAAAGTAATAATAATAAATAAATATATGAAAGGAGATAACTATCCATAATTGAGCAAAACATGGGATTCAAGCAAAAAGACGCAAACTAAAAAGTATGCAACATAAAAAAGTAAACTGAATGATCCTGCACCAAATGTTGAAGTAAACCAAAATGAGGCTTACAAAAACAAGAACTTTTCTGGCAACTGAACATACTGAACCATATGATCAAAATTATAAACTAGACAAAACGATACTTGCACTGAAATCACATATTACAGAAATTTATTTGTCTTTTTTAATGAACAACATATAGAATTGATATTCTGGTACTTGAGTATGGCTAGGCTATATATTTGGTGGAAGTTCTAATCTTTTTAGTGAGTAACAGGAGATTAAAATTCATGAAAAATGTTGCAATATTGCTAGCCTGCTACACCGCACTAGAGATAGTATGATATTACATGTTTGTGACAGTTTCCAATCTCTGGTTGTAATCCAAGAGCCTGTTTACTGCTTTTTGAATCCAAAGATAAAGTTATACTTATTTATCTGCTTGCAATATAAAGAGGGATTAGTGATAAAAAGCTTTCACAGAACTTTATCAATTCAGTGGCAGAGAATGTCACTAAATTCCTAATTTCCAATCTTTAATGAAACTACCAGACCCTTCTTACTTAAAAAAAAACAAAAAAAAACGATCATCTTGAACTTTAGATTATGTCTATCATTACTAAAATATCTCTAAACATTACTTTAGACTACTCAGGTATTCTCAGTTATCCAATATACTTATGAAGATACTATTTTAATGTTCATATGTGAGAGAGAACTTTGCATAGACCAGCAAAAATGTTTAACTTCCTGTACTTTAACAGTCCACATTAACATCACACGATAAAAAATGATATTTGTTATATCCACTACTAAACACTTTTTACAACTAATAAATGTAACTTGCATGATCCATTAATTTGTAGCAATTCTATTAATCTTTACACACAACTTACTTCCAATAACTTGGGTTTCGAAAACACCGCCGAACAGAGAAGACACTTCCACTGCTGAGTTCCCGTGTGTGCCTTTTGATGCTTGTTGAGGTTGTGACGCATCTTGAAGCTCTGACCGCAATCAGAACATGTGTAAGGTCTTTCCGATGAGTGTCTCTGGCTGTGACGATTGAGCTCACTCTTGCAAGTAAAGGATTTGCCACATTCTTCACATACAAATGGTTTTTCTCCTGCAAGCGTGAAAATAATAATCAAAACTTCCACCCATCCAAAATAACCATGCAAAAGCAAAATACATTGTGTTTCTTTTAAACCATATTATGAAACACTGCATAAACATGTTAAAAAAGTAATCTCAGGTAACCACAATAACTTCCATAAAATGAAACACACCCATAAAGGAAAAGAATAGTAGATTATGATGCTTAGAATCCACCTGAATTTTATTATTGGATAAGGCAAAAATAAGTAATAATAGAAGCAAAGTTAGACAACTATATATAGTAGACAAAAAAACAATGGAATAAGAACTGAATCAGGTCACAGGAGGTAAGCCAAGGAAAAATAATCTTGGGAAAGCTTTCCTATTAAAACCATGGTAAGGTCATTCAAACCTTACTAACATCAGCATCTGCCACTGGGGTTTGGACACACCTCATGTTTAGTAAGCAAACCTTCCCTAAGATTATCCTCTCTTGAATATGTCCCATGGATGAATCACTGTCTCCCTATTGTCAATGTACCAGTATGTTTCCTCATGTGCTTCCTCAGGTACTCATTCTGCTTGAAGGTCTTTGCACACACTGAGCATGTGTACACAAGCTCTGGATTTGGCTGGTGCGTCAGGAGGTGACGCAGGTGCACACTAAGCTGGCGACTCTCTTTGCCACATTCATCACACCTGGGTAATTGGAAATCAAGAAGTATTAATCAGTGAATAGTGTAATATATGAAAACTAAATAAACGAATGAAACATCATATGCAAAAGGAACAACGAAGGGAAGAACAAGAAAACACACGAATATGCTGAAGGCCTTCGGCATATTCTTGTGTTTTCTTGTCCTTCCCTTCATTGTTCCTGTTGCAATCTGTTCGTCACGAAACATCACATATACAGCATTTGCATGTGAATTTAAAAGTATGTTTATTTTAAATAGAATCTTAAACTCATATTTGCATTCATATCTTTTTTCAGTATCAAAATATAAATATACTAATTCATAACATAACTCACTGCTTTCCATAAAAATTACAAAAATTAATCATAAATCACATATTCATGCCCAACCTAGTGTGATTTTAGATAAGTTTTGTCTAGAAATAGATGGCTCCAAAAGCATTCAGTCACCAGGGAGTCATTTAGCCCTCACTTTGAGTTTAGGAAAGGTATCTTTTATTACTATTACAATAGTAAATAAAAACTAGAATAATTAGAATCTTCATAATAATAATAACAGTAAAACAAAAATAATATTAGAAAAAAATCTAAGGAATGAGGCAATCAGGCAGTCCTACTACTTGACCTAATAATAGCCATCTATGTGTAAAAAAATCACATAACAATCTATCTCTTCTATCTATCTATCTATCTATCTATCTATCTATCTATCTATCTATCTATCTATCTATCTATCTATCTATCTATCTATCTATCTATCTATCTATCTATCTATCTATCTATCTATCTATCTATCTATCTACCTATCTATTTATCTATCTATCCATTTATCTATCTTTATATATATATATATATACTATAATATATTATATATATATACATATAGTATAATTATAATATATATAGTATATATATATATACCATAATACAAATATATATTTTAATATATAACTATATGTGATATATATATATAATATATAATCTGGACCGTATACATATACCTATATATTATACCGTATAAGATATGTATATATATATATATATATGAATCACGGTTAACCTACTACATATATATAACATATATATATATATAATATATAGTATAATATATATATATATTATACTATTATATATATAATATATATATATATACTATATATATACATATTATAACTTATAAAATATATATTATATTATATGATATATACTATTACTATATTATATAGTAATAATATACTATTATATATATATATATATATACATATATGTAAGTATATATAATATACTATATAAAATTAATAATATATATATACCCACTATACGATTCTAATCTATAAATATATTGTATAACACTATATAGCTAATACTACTTATATACGCTATACACCTATACCTACTACAGTTCACTATACTATATACATATAATGTACTACTACTGTATAATATATACTACCTATATATATATAGTTAATAATCATATATACTACGTAATATATGTATAATACAACAGAGACTATATATATATATAATATATATCTATATATGGTATATACTATAACTACATATATATATATATAGTATAATATATATATATTATATACTAATATATATATAGTATATATATATATATAATATTTAATAATATGAATATATATAAATATATATAATTATATATACATATATTATATATATATATATAGTTATATTACATATCTTATATATAATATATATATATTATATATATATATATATATATTAATATAAATATATAAATATACTATATAATATATATATTATATCATATTGTATAAACATATAATACATATATATTATATATGAAGTAGTTATATAAATATATATATATATAGCTATATACTATATATACGTACATATATATGCTATATATATATTAAATCATATAATTAGAATATATATATCTATATACTATATAACTATACACATACCATGCCACACAATATATTATAACATATACATAAATCATAACTATAGCCTATATATTATAGTATATATATATCATGTGTGTGTCGTGTGGCTGATGTGTGTGTAGTGTGTGTGTGTGTAGCTGTGTGTCTGTCGTGTGTGTGTGTGTTGTGTGTGTGTGTGTGTGTTGTGTGTGTGTGTGTGCTGTGTGTGTGTGTGTGTTATCTATATATAAATTTATATCATACTATATACATATATTACATCATAGTATACTATATATAGATAGATACGATAGATTATGATAGACATAGACTAATTAGATAGATAAGATGGATAAGATGGATATAGATGGATAGATGGATAGATGATAGGATGCCGAAGATGGATAGATGGATAGATGGATAGCCAATGGATTAGATGGATAGCATGGATAGATGGATAGATGGATAGATGGATAGAGTGGATAGATGGAATACGATGGATAGATGGAATACGATGGATAGATGGATAGCATGGATCAGATAGGATCAGCATGGATAGATGGATAAGATAGAAAGATAAGAAGATAGATAGAAGATAGACACTAGCACTAGATCATGAATAGATAGAAAAGAATAGATCAGATAGATAACAGATAGACCTAATTCAGATAGCATAGATAGATTGGATAAGATGAGATAGATTAGCCTAGATAAGACAATGAATAGTAAGATATAGATATAGAATATAGATATACGAATATAGATATAGATATAGATAACCAGACTAGGATAGATAGATAGATAGATTTAGATAGATAGATAGAATAATTAGCATAGATAGAATAGATAGATAGATAGCTAGATAGATAGATAGAGATATCACAATATCTATATCTTATCGTGTTATACTCTATATCTTATCA